GAGTCCCGTCCCCCCATTCCAATTTGATCAAACAGAGTTGGCTTGTGCTTGACGGGTTACTGGATTTGTGATTGCGTGCACAGTGCAGACAGCGCCTTAGACCCGAATGCGAGAGGGGTAAACCTCTAACTAAAGTGGACCGTATTCTCGAGATCGCCAATACTGTACGGTTCAAGCCGTAACGCCCCCTCGCCTGGAGACTCATCCCGTACCAGTTGCTGGGCTTAGTGCGTACGCCACCAAAAGTCGTCGACGTTCTGCACTGTATTTGGAGTAAACACTAGGTCGACGGGACACTCAAATACTGGTGGATCCCCTGAACTCATCACTCCAGTCTTTTGTACAAAAGACGAGCTTGGCCAAGCGCGGACTTGACTAGGCGTCACTGGGCTGATATCCGGGTTCCATCGTACGATTTTCTGCCCTCTTCTCAAACTGAATTCCTTGCATCCATCGCTCGCCTCCGAATCATCGCCCAAATCGCCTATTCTCCCATCTGCAATTTTAACTGCTACTCGTTGCCAGTCGAACCATAATCGCGAGACTGCGCTGCTCTTCCCTTGTTGTAGAACCCCTGCACTGTCCTTTCTCACCCGTCAACCGTTCGGCAACACCCGTTCAATCATTCGATCCCAGAGCCATTGAGACAACCCATCGATTCATTCTGTGGTTGCAGCACGCCCTCACCACCGATTCTCTCTATCTTACCCACCGATTGATCTCCTTAGCAGAGGCTATAGGCCTGTCGACTATTGCAGGCTGACCCTCAGCACAGCCTGTAGCTGTAGCTGTCACTCACTGTAGTTGGAGCCATCCACAGCTGGAGCCATAGCCAGTAGCTGAGGCTATCACGGCCAAAGTCCACTCCTCGGCCGAGAGACTTCAATTGAACAGGCCACGCCCGGGAACAGAGGCCAATTCAACCCAACTGGACCGACAACATCGACCCTTGCTCTTAGTATCGTCGGCCAAAGGCCCTCGTCTTCCCGAAAGGAAGGCCTCGCTCGACCACGGCGACTCCTTCGGGGTCACCCCAAGCACTGGGTCTCTCAATCAGGCCATCGCAGCTGCATTGCATGGTGCTGGCCTGTCCCCATCATGCCCGGCTCCCGCTTCTCCGACATGGCCGACCATGATTCTGCCAACAGCCTCTATGGCCTTCAAGATCCGAATCTAGGTGGTTTCGTTGATGATGGCTCGGCCGTGAAATCCGACCCCTCCTCAGCCTCCCTGCCCAACGATTCCTCCCGTCCCCAGACCCAGCAACAATACTACGACGCTGCATGGCACTTCAACGGCACGCCCCCTTACGACTCGTACGACCCCTCTAGCAGCACCGCACCTCCTGCTCAAACTACCTATCAACCTTCTCCTTGGAATCTCGCTTTCGGTCAGGATCAGCAGAACCTTCAACAGCTTCCCATCTCTACCGGCATCGACGGCCTTCCGGTAACCGCTTTCAGCTCCGAATCAATCTACGCCGCTTCAAATCCTCCCCTGCGACAGCCTAGTTTCAACGACAACACCGTTCTTCAGCCAGCCCTTATCAGCCATTTGACTCCTGCTTTGCAGGAGAAGCTGCGCAACATCGCCATGCCACCGCATCTCCAATACCACTCTCCCAAGAGCGCCTCCAGCCCGGACTCAGCAAATGGCGAACTCAGAAGGGGTATCTTTTCATCACCGGATCCCGCCGATGGATCTTCGAAAGCATCGCGAAAGCGCAAGTCTTCCGCCGACCCTGAGGATGAAGAGGAGGAGGAAGAGGATGGCGATCAACCAGTGAAGAAGACCGCCCATAACATGATTGAGAAGCGATATCGAACCAATCTAAATGACAAGATCGCTGCTTTGAGAGATAGCGTTCCCAGTCTTCGCATCATGTCGAAGAGTGCGCGAGGTGAAGACACGACTGAAGATCGCGAGGAACTCCATGGTCTGACCCCAGCTCATAAGCTGAACAAGGCTACAGTACGTTGTGCTCTTTCGCGCGACATAACTCACACTAATCACTGGACAGGTTTTGAGTAAGGCGACTGAATATATTCGACATCTTGAGAAGCGTAACAATCGGCTACTCGACGAAAATGGTGCTATGCAAGCCCGAATTGCCGCCTTCGAGAAGCTTTTCATGGCCGGGGCGATGAATGGCGCCATTAGTCCGCTTCAGCAACCACCTACGCCAATACAATATGCACAGGATGCACAGCAGTTTGTCGGGGGCCCGTCGCAGGATGCTAACGCACAGCCAGGAGGAATGATTCAAGTTCCCGATGATATGAAGAGAATCATTTCGCAACAAATGGCTTCTGGTCAACCATATCCTGTACCCCAACAACAGTTTCGCGGTGGAAATCCCGCGCTCATTCGACAGCAGCAGCTTCAACAGCAACAGCAAATGCAGCAGGGGCGGTGGAATAATGCCGGTCCATACTTTGGTAAATTGATGGTTGGCTCACTCGCTGGTCTGATGATTCTGGAGGCGATGCATGAGGATGAAGTCAGCAATGAAAAGCCTGAAGGTCGTGGTTTGTTCGCCATGCCTATTCAGCTTCTGAAGAGTGCAGCGAGCGGCCTTGACCTGACCGTTGGAGGCTATCATCTTCATACTTCACTCCGAATTATTCTCCTGCTTGGAACATTCATTTGGGTGTTTGTCCCTTCACTATTCACACGAGATTCACAGAAGTCGAAGAAACCACAAGTCGGGGTTCTTCAGGCAGCCCCATCGCTCGCTTCACCGATTCATGTCCGCCGACAAGCTTGGCTTACCGCTATCCAGACCGTATGGGTCCCTAGTCACAATTTCTTCCTCGAGGCGGCAGCTCTCATCTTGAAGACTTTCAAGCTCAGCCTCCGAAATGCTATTGGAGTTCATGGTTATCAAGCAATCACTGGTTTGACTCAGGAGCAGGAAACCGCTCGTGTCCAGGCATGGAGCATAGCCCTCGACTCGCAGCTGGCTGGTGGCGATGTCGAGATCAACAAGAGCCGTCTTATTCTCACACTCCTCGCTTCCGGCACCCTCCCCGACACTCCTGCTAGACTCATGCTCAAAGCCCTCCATATTCGCGTTCTTCTCTGGGACCTGAGCCAGAATCGACTCCAACTTGGGGCAATCAACCTCATCGCTGCCAAACTTGCCCGCAGCAAGTGGAATGAGGCCCGCCAACTGCATCGTCTCCTTAGCCAACTTCACCGCGAGTCCTCCGAGCAGCATGACGACGATTTGCCCGAACATCTGGCTCTTTTGGTTGAACAAGACTGCGATGAAGTGCTCAACGATGATGTTATCCAGCGAGCACACAACCTGGCTTTCAATACCGATACTGATTACAACGTTGTGACCCCTATGGATGGCATGGATTCTGTTGTTGACGATACCGCTATTGGATCTCCCCTTGATGCTGTTGCTGCCTGGTGGTCGACCCAATTCCTACACCGAACTTTGGTCGCCACATTGGAAAAGGATGAAGAGACGCTCAGCACCAAGGCAGAAGATATCGAACTCACCATCAAGGCTGCACCCTTGGGTTCAACCGCGCAGGCTCGGGCAATCGTGGCACGAGCAGTTCTCATTGATAAGGCACGCGGCGCTAACATCGCCTCTGCCTTGCAATCAATGGGCAACGAAAAGGTCGATGCTCTCCTGAGCTCTTCCATTTGTGTCGTTGACTCAAGCTTCCAGGCTTCAACTCCCGATCTCCGACTTGCCCTACGATGCGCCATGGCCATCGCTCACCTCCGACGTGTCGAATGTACTCCTGGAAGTACTCACCAAGGACTCCGTATGATTGAGTCAATCATGGCCCGTGGCAACGCCCCGCAGATGTCTCTTATTGGATGCACTGCAACCCTTGAGCTGATGGAGGAGCTCTACGAGCACAAAGCAGCAGCTGAGACCTTCCAGTCCTCTCTTGAGCGACTATCTGGTGGTCTTCGTCTATGGATGGGCGGATCTCCCGGGGAGAAGTGTGGCGTTGCCTCTGATGTAAGAGAGAAGGTCGTCAGCCGGTGCCTGGCTATCAACAAGAGTATGGTGGGAATTGATTCGGATACCGGCTATGGAAGCCTTGATGAATGCGAAGACGACGGATGTTAGACGACAAGCAGCAATTTCCCCTTTGATTTTTGATTTTCATAAGCGACATGCACACCGATGCACTTTTCCGCCACTCCACTTTGATCACCTCTTCACGTTCTATTCTGCTTGTTGCCCTTCCGAGATGACTATCTGTACGAAAACGGTTATTAGATTGGTGGGAAATCCTGGCGCTTATTATTCACGGAGTTTTAACTTGGCGACGGGTAAAAGGACAATCAAACAGTACATGGCGAAGGACATATTTTTTTAACAGGCTTTCTGATGGACTCAGCATTTGCGGAAGTGTGTTGAAGTGCTTTGACAAACAAAGATATCTTTCCTTATTCTCATTCAAAGTACATTATTATGGCTTCATTCTCTGCTATCGTACGTGGTGATATTTGCTGCCAAGTGGCGTAGTGAGCGGAGGACCTTAAAGCGATTTCAAGATTGGGTATCCGCAGCAAATACATTGGAGTCTCTGTTCTTGGCTCCAACAGCCTTACCAGATCGTATACTTCGTGTGGTGAGCAATAGAAGTCAAGGACAGAAACGGCAACATACCTGGGATTCAGATCATGACGAGATTCCACGCTGAAACCTCAAACAGGCATTGTCTTGGTCGTCGTTTTGCTGGTCGCGTTCAGGACGGGAATCCCAGACTCAGCAGCAACAGCAGATTGCGAGGCGTCTATCGCTCTTTCAGCTTCCAACTCTCCATCAACTTCCACAACCACAAAGTCCATCTCAGAGGCAGGAGCAATTGAAGTCGGTGATTGATGAAGAGAATGGCTTGGCTGAGGGGAGGAGGAGGGAGACTCAACCCACTCCCAGGCAAGTAGGGCGTCGTGCTTCTGCAGGTAGGTAGTCAGAATCAGTGAACAGAACAAAGAGAACTCATTGTATAGATTGACTTACCACATGCGCATCGGTTCGAAGATGGCACCGGAGACCAGTTGTCCCTTCAAATGACTCCCCATAACACTCCATCCCCACGACACGGCAGCCAAACTCATCATCCAGCGACCAGTCTATTTCGCAATGGGGGAGATGCGCGTACAACTCCCCCAAGAGTTGCTCTCTGGCAACCACTGCCACCCGCAGGATCCGCGCATCAGTCTTGGCCCTTAGTTCTTCCTCTATAATTCTGTCAACTGATCAATCCTAGATAAGGAAGGTAGACAAACAAGCGGGAAGCAAGGACTTACAAGAAAAATTGGCACAAGGGTCATGCTCAATAGGAGCAACGACTTCTTCGGGGGGCGAAGGGGCAGGCATTGAGACATCGGGCCAGATGGTCTCTTTAGACTCATCCCAGAACTTATGAGAGGACAAACCTCTCGGAGAACACGTATATAGAGTGACCATGGTTCACCACGTGGAATCAGTGTAAATTGATGGGACGATGATATGTCGAATGTATGGCAAATTGCATGTCAAATCTAGGGCTCTCCATTTATTAACTGACCACAATAACTTCAATAAGGTACCTACCTTAGGTACCTACACGTGACTTGGCTCCTATACTTTTTGGCCTTGTAAAATGACGTACATTTTGTTTTGTCCTGAGGAAAGAACCAGGCAGATGTCGAAATGAACACTCAAGGGGAAGGAACGCCTTTTTGGGGAAGGCACAGCTCAGACACATGTGCCAATGGAAATACAGACCTTAAAAGACCAAGGCGCTATTAATTTACATATCCTACTCATAAAAACAGTATTTTAATGATACGTTTCAATTTGAGACCGTTTGATAGGAGATTATGACCAAGTTGAAAGCCCTTCGCCGAAAGAGGGACTCAGCTTTCTGACTGACTGATGACTTCACTGTCTACACAAACAGGTCTTCCTTCAAAGAACCTTTGCAATAGCTGGAATACAGCGAGGGAGACAAGTGTAGAATCATGAGGCATGACCTAACTTAGGATGTAGCAAAACTTAGAAAACATATTCTTCAAGGTAGCATGTATTTCATTCGCTAATCATAAAATTCCCGGTGGATTCGTGATAACACATCCGTTGTGTTCCTTTATTCATAGTATGCTGGAAAACTGTTGTCTGTCAGTAGCTGCTGTTGCTTTAGAAGTGAGGGATAGTTACATTTTCTGGGGAGTTTGTGATTTCCTCGAACTCTTGGAGTGTCTCAAAGCCCATCGCTGTGAGGGACTCGGAACCATCATCCACAACCTGATATGTTAGCGATATCGAGAGGTTGGATAGGCTGTTTGACTTACCCAACCAAGGACCACTTTTGTAGCTTTGTGACTCCTGGCCTGACGAATACCCATGAGCGTCAAGCCTTGTAAAGCGAGAGTTGCTTGTGGTCCAGGAGGCACAACTGGAGCAATAATGCCACCGATGTCCTCAGAGCGTGACACCAATGAAGGAATATGAGTTTCCAATGGACTGCGCTGCTTGCAAACAATGATCGTACCCAACAAGGCACCTGTCGCATCCTTGGCTCGCACAATCCCACTCAACTTCGATTCTGACAGCGCATGACGGTACAGCTCTAATACCTCAGGATTTGCGTTGTTACGGACATGGCTGAGAACACCATCCGCGTTGTCCAAATCATGAATGAGGTCAAAGCTAATGCCAGCTCTTTGAATACTCTGGGACAAACCCTCCGGGGCAGACCAGCTTGCCACATCCTGTAAAATCATGTTTGATATGCGTCGTGGAAACTGAACATCCCAGCCGCTGTTCGCAAACCACTCTTTGATTGTGTTGACCTCGACATCGTTGGGAATGCCTAGGAAAACCCCAGGAAAAGCTGACCCTATCTGGACTTGCTTGATTCCTCGTCGCTGCATGAGACTTCTGAGCGCCCGTCGGTGAAGGGACCTCCCGATCGATACGTCACGTTTGGTGGGCTCGACAAAGACACCCCCAAGGATACCAACACCGTGAACAAAGTATGTAGCAGCAAAGCCGTACAAAGCGTTAGTGCTGCTGTTTCTAACCACAAAATGTGATTCGGCAATATTGGCATTATTGAGCTGAAAGGAAGCAGCAGTTGTTGTGCGTAGGAACTGCAAGTCTGGTGCGCTTGCTCGGTGAACGGCTCGAAGTAGGTCGTTCAAAGCAGATGCGTCACGTTTCGCACTGTATTCTTCTACCAGCCAGTGTTGTCTGGACTTGAGAACCTTCTTGCTCTTACGCAGAGTACCGGGGAGAGTTCCAAGGGGTGCGATTTCTCCAACCAGCGTCCTTGCAAGAGCATGGAGAGCGTTCTCGGTGAAGTCGAAGGTGCAGAGGTATGTGCCAATGGATTTATCCATTGCAAAATCATACGGAGAGCTGACTGCCACTACGATCAGTTGCTTTTTTTGGCCCCTGGTTCGAAGCATAGAGCACATCATGTCAACATGCTTAGTGAAGCCAGCTTGGTAAAGGTTTCGATTGGCATCAGCCGTGACAATAATGATGCAAGATGCTCTGTGGATCAGGTTTTCGTGAACTAAATCTGGTCAGAGTGAATGCCATCTACTAAAGTCTAAGAGTGTTACCTGGACGAACTCCATTAGCCGTATAGCTTGTGTGGAGTAACTTTTCATTACGAGCTCGAGCAAGAGATTTGCCAAATTCTCGGAAAACCCCCTCTCCGCTCAATATCGCGCTTCGGTCACGACCATTATGCGCCCACATCTCATGCTGCCCTTCTGCTTGATTCTGGCTGTCTTTGGCTGCCAGCAACTTTTTGGTGAGTGAAGATGCAGGCAGCGGCTTGACTAAAGGTGTCAACAAGAGAAGCTCCTCTCCGGGATGCATTGAGGCTGTGAGTGGGATAAGTTTCTCCTTATCTCGAATGATTGTGATGGAATCATCGTAGGCTTGGAGTGATAGAGCAAGATGAGATGGATGAAGTTGAGAAAGCAAAGAAATGCCTGGAGGGTTCAACGCCTTCTCCCAGGAGGTACAGGTCGATTTCAGGTTAAGTACCCTTCTCAAGGAGGTGAAAATCCGCTCCTTCGTCACAATACCATTTTCGTAACCGAGCTTCAGGCCTTTGATAGCTTCAAGTTGGACGTCATAGGCACGGCAGAGGAGGACAAGATCACAGCCTGCTTCGACGGCCATGATAACACCATTCTGTACACCAAGTTCATGACTGAGAGCCTCCATCTCCAAGCACTCTGAGATTGCGACTCCGTTGAATCCAAGCTCATCGCGCAGGAGCTCATCCACAACTTGATCTGAAAGACAAGCATGACTCACATTCATGGACGGATTGGATATGCCGCAGCCTCCAATGAACATAGCATCCAGTTTTCCCGATGCAACGGCATTTCGAAATGGAACCAGAGCGCTGATGCTGAGTTCCTCTAGTGTTTGAGTGATGATGGGCACATCTAGGTTTGAGCCCAGAAAGTTGAGATTTCCGTACGATGGGAAATGCTTTCCACATGAAGCAATTCCAGCATCTCGAATTCCTCGTAGAGCCGCCAGGCCATATTGTGATACTTCTTGGGGGTCGTCACCGGTAGCACGCACTCCTAAAGGCTGGTAGCGAGCATTATTCAATACATCAAGGACGGGTCCTAGCATGAGGTTGACACCACATGCCGAGATCTCCGTGGCAGTAGCCTTTGTCACTTCATATGCTAGGTCGGCTCGACCAGTAGCTGCGACACCCATGGCACTGGGAAACTGGCATACGTAGTCTTCGTCAAAAAGACTGTTGACTCCTCCATTCTCCTGATCGAGGGCGATGAGAAGAGGTTGTAAATGACCAGCATTCCTAGCAATGGTCTGTAATTCCTGGACCAGTTCTGCTGTTTGCTGAGCAGCTTGACAACGTTAGAGTGATGAAGTAAGACAGGTGTCTGTAAGTAGAGCTCACATTTAAGGTTCTTGGCTGTAAGTATAATGGAACCAAGGTGATGATCCTCAATGAGGCTCCTGATCTGGGGGGTAACTTCAGTGCCATCCCAGCCCATTATCAGGATCTGCCCAATAGCACTACGGGACAGCCAGTTAGTATCATGATGTCAAGTGAATGGATGGATGGATATTCGCCGAGATTCGGAGCCGAAGAGTGGAGAGACGGCCCCTTGACGGTCCCGCGCCGTCCGGAGACGCGCCTCGACGGGACCGACAGGAAGTGAAGTGAGGTGAGGTGAGGTGAGGTGAGTGGGTACGTACCGGTCGAGATCTTGCCATGCTGGATCGAGGTCGCTGTTGTCTGTATGGGCCATGATGGTTGGGCGGCGTCGATGTCTCGTCACATGATACTTTGATCTCTTCTGCTGTGGTTCTGGCTCACCCCTTGATGGCCCCGCGTGCTTGAGGTAACGATGAGATGCATTGACACTGCGGTAGCCTTCTCGAGAGGATGAGCTAGACGCTGACCCAGCAGGAGGAGGGGCCATTGGAGTGGAGGTGGAATGCTGCCGACCGCCTAAACCTCGGCTGATGTGATTGGTGTATATTGATTGGTCAGTTCCGGAAGGAGCCAGCTGCTGGGCGATAGGGAAGTGGGGTCGTGCTGTTCGTTGGCTGTTTCTTTATGGCAGGCGATTTGATGGGTTACGCCCCATGAGTTAACGTTACATGGAACAACAGCAACAAATGGTCGGTGACAGAGAGGTCCGTTTCACGTTGTGTCGAGACGTGAGAGATTGAACCAGGTAAGGATGAACATTACTTGTGAGGCAAAAATGGACGGATGGCATGGTCTTTTTATTCCACTGCACCCTGGTCTCTGGCTGTCAATATGCACAGCAACATAGCAAAAGGGAACCATACCACGTTCAGACCAAAATCATCTCCACACAGTCTCACTATCACGGCTTCGACGATGGCACCGTCCGCTTGGGTCCAGATGGCACGGTTACTGAATCGCTCGCAGTAATGACGAAATGACTTTTTCCATGTTATCTGGGAAAAAACGTGGCCGTTGTCGGCGGCTTGATAGGGCTTTATGCTTCTGAGGACGAAACTCTCTAGAAAATACTAGTATCCCACGACTCGCATCTCGTTTTATATGATTCATTGTCCTTAGGGACTTTCAACTCAAGATAGACAACACCGAAAAAATCCACTTTGAGATATCTAATTCTTCATCACAGACCCCCAGCCCATCTTCAGTATGCCTATCGCCGTCTCGCCGACCCTACCCAAGAATGGCCTCACTAAATTCACCAACTGTCGGCTGCTGAAAGGCAACGACTTGGTCTGGGAGGACCTTTGGGTCAGCTCCATCACTGGCAAGATCATCGATAGCCAGGCTTCATTCTATGGTGGCCGCAACATGCCTGACAATACTCTTGATCTTGGTGGACGCATCATTGCACCAGGTCTGATTGAGTGCCAGCTCAACGGTGCCTTCGGCTTCAACTTCTCAACTCTACTGGATGACATGTCCGAATACGGTAAAAATATCCAAAAGATCAATCGACTACTCGTCAAGACAGGGGTCACATCATACATCCCAACCATCACCAGCCAACGGCCTGAATTATACCAAAAGGTACGCCTTCATATCTTTGGTGGGGCAATCGTACATGAAGCTAACGCCTGTCAGGCCCTCCCGTATCTTGGCCCGTCTGGGGAACTGCGGATCCCGGCTCACGGCGCCGAGTCCCTTGGTGCTCACTGCGAGGGTCCGTTCTTGAGTCCCACCAAGAACGGAGTTCACAATGTCGATGTTCTCACACAAGCTGAATCGATAGAGGACATTGAGCAATGTTATGGTCGTGAGAACATGACCCCTCGTTCCGATGGCTCGCCGACGCCGATCAAGATGATTACAGCAGCGCCGGAACGCGGACAGATGATGAACCTCATCCCAGAGATCACATCAAGAGGAATCATCTATTCAGTTGGCCACACCGAGGCAACATACGAAGAGACATCGCAAGCTGTCAGTAAGGGTGCTATAATGATTACACACCTCTTCAATGCCATGCGCCCGTTGCACCACAGAAACCCAGGCGTCTTTGGAGTTTTGGGCAAGGCCGAGAGTCTGCCACGACCTTACTTTGGCATCATCTCAGATGGCATTCATTTGCATCCTACGACTATCAAGATCGCATACAGCGCTCATCCTGATGGATTTATCCTGGTCACGGATGCTATGCATCTTGTTGGTCTCCCGGATGGAGCCTATCCGTGGACAAACGGAGAGTACACATGCAACATTGTCAAGCAGGGTTCTAAATTGCTCCTTGAGAACTCCGACACGATTGCTGGGAGGTACGTACTGATTTACCCTACGGAGCCCTGTATCTAACTCTTGTCAGCTCAATCACTCTCCTCGAGTGTGTCAATAATTTCAGACGGTGGACTGGGGCTAGTATTCCTCAGGCACTTGGAGCGGTCACATCAACACCGGCCGCAATGCTTGGCTTACAGGGAGTCAAGGGTTCACTAGAATCGGGGGCTGACGCAGATCTGGTGATTTTGTCAGACGGATACGAAAGCCAGGGTGAAGTCAGGGGAACGAATGAAGTTCTTGTACTGGACGAAGTGTGGAAGTTTGGTGAGAGGGTGTCCGATTCTGCCAAGGAGAGCAAGTTGATGTGAAAGTTTGGTTGGCTTGCCGTTGCTGTTGGTTCCGGGCCTCATGATAAGAATAGGTATGCTGCATGAAACAGAAACTAGAATTAAGAGAGCATTATTATTAGAAAGGCAAAGACCTAGAGAGCATTGGGCATGAAGGGAGCATTAATAAATAAAATATTACTGTAAACGTGGCCAACGTCGTGCTTCATTTTAATTGACTTTGACGAACAACAAAACCCTCCTGGAAGATGCCGAAATGGCAAACAACGCCAGAAACAACAACTAATAAAGCTTCCTCTTATATAGCGCTGCCCTCCAGCAGATAACAATGCCCGCGGGGTCTCGAGTCTTCACATGAAGCTCTGTCTCGGCCAATTGTTGAAGCGAATGCCAATCAACTTTCAGAACCCATCGCTGGGAACAGTAAAGGGTCGGCCAGCCCAGTGGGTCTCTCCTCCACAAACCTACAGTAGCCGGAGCCCGTAGAGTGAGTTAGCTGGAGCTGGAGGTCGGCAGCCCAGGCCCTCCACACTCCCTCCGTCTCCGCCTCCGCCTCTCCTCATAGACTACTACCTGACTATCTCTACCTCGCTCTGCTCGGCCTTGAACTTGTCTTATCTTCTCTTTCGGCTTCTGTTTGCTCGTCGCTCCAAACCCTCGGCGCTCTACCGGGGAAACAACCCGTCATCGCCGGTGTCGCCAGATATTTCTCATCCCTTTGCACCGTTTCACATACTTGCGCGATCACGTTGTGTCGCTGTCTCCCCCGCCGCGCCAATGAGACTTTGACGGATCTTCTCAACTGAACAATGCCATGTCAACCTACAACTCAATGTCGGGGCTGCCAACTGGCGCCTCTTCCAGCGAAGCGATGGCGATGAACTTTGGATCTGCCCACTCTCAGAGTATGAATATGGACGTGTTCGACCAGGATATGCCATTTGATGAATCACTTCTGTAAGCACTGCAGGCGCACTTGCAACGCGCGCGCAACTTTGGCTTGGGGGCTAGTCAAGCTAACATCTACAGTGATGGGGCTGCACTGCAGACTCTACCTTTCGGCACCTCGTATGACTTGGATGCCTTTTCCTCGACCTTCGAAGATCCCTTCTCATATTCGACTCGACAGCAATTCGATCCTCCGCCGAATCAAGATGCCCTGCATGAGGAATCATCTCCCCAGGAGCCCGATAATAAGCTTCTTGGGTTCTCCGCTCCCGTTTCCAACGCTACCATTGTCAACGAGAACAACCAATTCGTTGACGCCGGCATGACGGCTGAATTGTACGGCATGTTCTTCGTTGCCGAGGATGTCTTCGGAGGAGAATCAAGCGGACGCCCGATGGAATTGACTTGTTATCGTCGCAACCTCTGGCAGTGTTCGGGGCAGATCACTCTCCCTCGCGGAATCAGGAATATTGTGAATGAACAAGGCCAACACATTCAAATATTCGAGTTAGTAGCGACTATTGCAGCCATCGAATCCATCGAAGGAAAGGCTACAGAAATAATATCGATCCCCTGGAAGAACGCCAATCCCCAGGGAGGTGATGACTCAAAAGGCGTTTCAGCACCACCTACTATCACACTGGATATAACGACAGGCCAGGAGATCGACGCACATCGTGTTTCTTTGCCTATATCTTGGAAACGGCTTCAGTTCAAGCATGCTACTGCCAACAACGGCAGAAGAAAGGGCTTGCAACAGCACTACGTAGTCCAGATCACCCTGCTAGGAAAGACACAGGCTGGTGAACTCATAAAAATATCGGAGATCAAATCTGGCCCAGTCATTGTTCGCGGCCGGAGTCCCAGAAACTTCGACAGCAGGAAGGACGTTCCTCTTACAGGCGACAAGAGATTTGAGAGGAGAAGCACATCGACGTCTAATGTCGACCACCCAACCCTTAAACTCGAACGGGAGAATTCGACGAACTTCACGCAAAGATTCCCTCCTGCTGGAAATCTCCAGGTAAGACACAAATCAGTTCATGTATGCAAAGGACGAAACTGACAGATAAGCAGCCGAACGACTGGGCAACACCTGGGTCAATGACCCATCCACTACCCAGTCCTCAACCCGTTGCAAGTCCACATCCGGCAAAGCGAGTCGCCTTATCGCCAACAATGACCAGACCCCCGATACCAGCTTGGTCCACCGATCCAAACAATTCTGCTAAAGCAGCAAATTCCCACAGTAATAAAAATTCACTCCCACGTCAGAATGCATCTCTGCCGATCAACCTGTCGCTATCAGAAGACGAGAGAAGCCCGAACCGCTCGAGTGCCGAGCTGCACAGTCCCAATTCTGGCAAAGGCTACACAACCGCAGGGGCGAACAGGGAAAACAGTCCTGCAGATGAGGGTGCCGATCCCTTGTACGAATACTTTCCACTGACTGTGGATGATTGGTACGTTACCACTTTGTTGGATCTCTCCACTTTCACGTTACTAACCTCCACCAGGATGCCGCCTGTAGATGCTGTTTATCGGCCTCACGTGGTCCATCACACTATCATGCCACCCGAGATGAAGGCACAACAGCTCAAGAGCAAGGCCAAGCGGTACTTTGCCTCTGACTGAAGCACAACAGGTGCTTGAGACTGATGAGTTACGAATTGTTGGAAAAGCCGATTTCCTGTATATTATATACTTAAGCTTTTGTACGGGCATTCTGGAAACGGGGAGTCTGTTTGGGATTATAGCACATTGTGAGCAAGTATATACACATTAGGTGGACGGCTAATAACCCACCATTGAGGGCATGAGATGGTTTGCATCGATACCCGAGAATTCTAATGCGACAATTGGTCATTGCAAAGTACGTACTACAAAACACCGCATATGTTGTTGAATCATGCTCATGCTGCTCGAGAGTGAATCTATACACAGACTGAATTCTCAAGTTACAAGAGACATTAGATCGTATTGAACACTTGTGTATCTTCCAGTCGTCCTAGATCGCAATCGATTTCCAAGAAATGACACTTTTCCCCCAAACGCTTCCACGCCAAAAGACGCTACACGTAACACCCATAAACTCCAATAGGCAACCTATCTAAAAGCCACCGGCGGTATTTGTATTCTATCCCTAACCTGACTCAAACGCCTTAATCGGATACGGGGCTAAAAATACTATTGTTGTAGTCATATTGATACAATCTGATAATTTCGTTCCTGAACCAACCCTGCAGCGACTGAACAAGACCTCCCTGGTCTCCATTTCTTTTTTACTATTCCAATCACAATATATCCACCTATCACGTTTAATGCGCCCCGACGGTGTTTTGTTTCTTCTGAAGTTCGGGGTTGGGTGTCAACCTGCGGCTCAGATCTGGCTCAGGAATGCGCGAGGCCATACTGTCGGGAACTAGGTCTGGCGACGGTGATCGCATTGCCTTAATGTTTGCTGTCATCGGCTGAAGCAAGTTCGAGACAGGGGCGTCTGGAGACATGGCGACGGCGCTATCGATCATCTCAACTTTCGTCTTTGGGACGTCGGTCTGAACTTCGAGGTTGGGCGTAAGTCTGCGGTTCAGGTTCGGTTCTGGGATACGCGATGCCATTCGGTCGGGGAACAAATCGGGCGAAGGGGTTCTCATAGAGTAGTCGCCCGCAGGTGTCGCTCGCAAGAGATGTGAAGCAATCGGCTCCGGAGCGATAATCGCAGGACTCTGAGCTCTCTGAATCTTGGTTTCAGGGATAGCGACGTTGCCAGTTCGTACTTTGGAGGGAAGAATCTGCTCGAATCCCTGCTCGCGAGCAACTTTCTCGATGCTCTTGAAGTACTGTCGTCCATGTTAGCGGAGGCTCATTATGGGAGGAAGAGTCGCTTACCTTGACTGTCTTTACCTGAAGTTCCAATGTGGCGTCCTCGTCGACGACAATCATAGGATGAGGGTGGAGCTGAAGGCATGATAGTGACCACATGTGATTGACGCCTTGTTCGACGCATTTTTGCAATGCAAGCGCCTTGCGGGCTCCAAGGATAATGACAACAACCTCTCTTGCTTCAAGGACAGTTTGGACGCCCACAGTCAATGCCATTCTTGGCACCCGGCTTACATCGTTGTCAAAGAAGCGCGAGTTGGATAGAATGGTGTCGTATGCTAATGTCTTGACTCGAGTGCGACTGGCAAGGCTTGATCCGGGTTCGTTGAAAGCGATGTGACCGTCTTCACCAATACCGGCCAAGAAGAGATCAATACCACCAGCTGCCTTGATAGCTTCCTCGTATGCATCACATTCGGCTTCCGGGCTGGCAGCGTTGCCATCGAGTATGTGGACGTTGGAAGGATGAATGTTGACATGAGAGAAGAAGTGCTTCCACATGAAGGAGTGGTAGGAGTTTGGGTCGTCTCGAGGAAGACCGACGTACTCGTCCATGTTGAAGGTGACTACATTCTCGAAAGAGACCTGCTATTGTTAGATGCTGCTATAGGATGAGGTGATGCAGCGTACCTCGCCAGCCTTGTACTTGCGTACTAGCATATCATACACTCCGATAGGGCTAGAGCCTGTCGGGAGGCCGAGGATGAAGGGATGCTCGGGTGTGGGTTGGAAGGCGTTGATGCGCTCCACGACGTAATTGGCGACATACTTGCATGCCTCAGTCTCGTCGTCACGGATGATGAGCCGCATGATGTATGTGGTTGTGTTATTGGTAGTGGGTGATGATGTTATAAGTGCTGGGTTTAGAAATGAGGTTATCAAGTAATGGAGTTTTGGTAGGAGTTGTTGAGTGTGTTGGGGGTTTAAGAAATATGATTACACTTTCGAGGAGTCAGTTGCTTATGAGGAGAGTTTATCAAAGGCGCACAAGTCACTACCTACCAAGAGAGAGTCACTTGCCATCCATGGGGACCCGTTGCATCATGATAGGAGCCACTGCCCGAGATGGGTAGGACGCCACTTTACTTTCTGCTTTCCCACTGCCATTCATGATGGAGCGTGGGGAGAGCGACTTCGGTCAGTGGGCAATGTAAGGTTGGATAGCAAGTCACGATAAGTGCAATGATTCGCGGTGGAGGGAATGAAACGTTTACTATGAAGTTTGACAATGTTTGAGAAGCCGCACTGTATTGCTTGTTCATCCAAGATAGGTAATGTTGTCAAGGTTGCTTTCTGCTTCCATTGGCCAGAGCCAAGCTTGCTTGTTTCTACAACGGGGCAAAGACGGATATAGTCAGTGATATACAGTAGCCGGCATTAGCTCCGATGTAAGGTAGCGTTGGAGGGATGTTATCAGATCCATGGTACATACATAGGTCTCGGCATCCCGATTTCTCTTTAGGGGAGGTGGAAGCATGATAGAGTTCTTTTGTTCGTATTGGATACCTTATTTCTGGAACTTTGTCGTTAGGTGAATTCTACGCCTCAGCAATGGACCTGGACCGAGGTCACATCCCTCAAGATAATCAAGAATTAATGCCGTGTAAGCGCACTAGCCGATGACAGGATTGGTTCCAGGATATTGATCTTGCTCATGCTCGTGGCAAGGTCACTTCAATACCTGCAGGGGTCCAGGATAAAGGTAGACGCGCCGAAGAAGGGCAGATTGTTTCAAATTACGTTCCTTGGCGATGTCTGTGTAACGAGGACAAGTTTGAAGTAACATGTAAAATCAGATGAACCCTCTGAATTTATGGAGATTGTTGAGGCGGCCTTTCAGCCTCCAATAGTAGCGGTGCACACTAACAATTAAAACGTGACGGGCCCATGTTACTCACTAATGGAATACCATCCACTTTCTCACGGCGCACTCACACTCACACGCAACGTTACGTTACAACCTACTAACTAACATCCCCCCCCCCATCTGGCTACGATCCTCGACCCCGTCTGACCCAACAAACTCCAAGGCCACACAGAGGCCAAAGGCCACCTACAATGACAATTACAGTTACAGGCGCTTCTGCTCACTAATTTGCTGGCTCGCATCGCTGTGGCGGTTGTCGCCTGTCGCCTGTGACTGTGAGAGAGCGGGTGCGTGAGCGGGCGCTTTCGCTGTGCGACGTTGGTTTTGATCTCATGGACGAATTGGAGGCGATATGATACATTACTACTACCAATTACCACTTGCCTTCACCTGCACTCTTGCTCTCCCTCTGCTTCCATGACACAGCGTGAACTGCACTGAAACTGAATTCGACCAGACCGACTTCTTCCCCTTGCAACGTCGACTCTCTTTCTGCTTCCTCTCTGCGGGACTCTGTTGTCGTCTGCTCCGCTCTATCCGTCCCTTCTCATGCTTTGACCCCTTCTACTCCTGGCATGTCCCATCAGAGGTGGCCCATCTCCATCTTCATCTTCGTGTTGTTTCCTTCAGATCTCCCCTCGTCTGAGCTACCTATCCAGGAACCTGTGCCTGTCCATCAGACACTCTCCACCTGCTAGTAGTAGTAGTAGCAGTTGGTCCATCCATCGGGGCGTAAGATTCTCACCCTCACCCCATCCCATCCCATCCCATCTATTCCTTCGAGGGCGGTTGCTTCAACCTCTTCCTTTCGCATTCTCTTGGACTATTTACATTCTGCCGTGTCCATGACTCAAACCTTGTTTCCTTTCCCCCTTCGTTTCTATTTTCCATAATCACTCGTTACCATCATGTCAGCGACTTTTCAAAAGACACTCTTGGCTGCCATCATCAAAAGCCTCCTTCGGGGGAAATCACTAGTTCAGTCACTCTTGGCTTACTGGGGCAGCTCTCTGGGACTTGAGACAAACACAAAGACGCGAGCCGCCAATACGCCACGCAAATCTGCCCAGGACTTTCTCAAAGAGGCAGAGGCTCTATTCCTCGACCCTGTCAGTCAAGATGGCCTACGAGAACTATCCAACAACCTACGAAAACAACTCCTAGAGCGACTAGAAACTGATATGGAGTGTATGCTACCGTCATACAGTCATCAACTACCAAGAGGTACAGAGGTTGGCCGCTTTGTGGCATTGGATGTTGGTGGGTCGACCCTCAGAGTAGCATTGGTGGAACTGTGTGGTCGCGTGTCCAATATCGGAGAGCAGAGCAGGATCGTGAGCATGAGGAACTTCCGCATCACACCTGAGATCAAAGCCCTAGAAGGCATGTTGTTCTTTGACTGGATGGCCGAGAGAATACTTGAAACTCTATCAGCAGAGCTAGAGCAGCAAGATAGATCTGATGGGCCTTTGCCTATGTCAATGGCATGGAGCTTTCCCATTGAGTATGCTTATTCCACCCATCCTTTCGTCCAGAGCTAATATTCGTTAGACAAACATCACTAGCAGGTGGCAAGTTGCAAGGGATGGGTAAGGGCTTCGCTGCGTGCAATGGGTTGTTAGGTCAAGATCTTGGAGAGATCGTACGAACAGCCTGCTTAAACCGCGGTCTCAACGTAGAACTTCGCGCTATCGTCAACGACTCCAGTGCATGCTTACTATCGGAGTCGTATAACCACCCCACAACAAGGTTCGGTCTCATCCTTGGTACTGGCGTCAACCTTGCTGCCTATCTTCCTGTGTCTGCCATCGGACGTGTCAAATTTGGCGAGCGTCCTCCTCAATGGTTCGAGAAAGCGACGCATGTCATCATCAACAGCGAGATCAGCATGATGGGACGTGATATCTTGCCCTTGACAAGGTGGGATCGGCAATTATTGGCGAACCACTCCCGACCTGAGTTTCAGCCTTTAGAGCACATGGTCAGCGGCTTCTATCTGGGCGAGATTTGTAGACTGGCGCTTGTTGAGGCGATCGAGTCCACTGGGGTTTTTGGAGGTGTTGTTCCTGTGTCCCTGGAGACACCTTACTCATTCTCAACCGAGACACTTTCTATCATTGAGGGGTAAGTTTCAGACTCAAGATTATCCAGCTTCAGCATGCTAACGATCATAGGGATACGAGCTCCGATGCCGAAGAGGCGCGCAAGCAATTTTCCTCTCGCCACCCATCGAGCCAAACCCCCACAGCTGCTGATATATCATTCCTCAAGCAGCTAGCCGGGTTGATCTCCAGGCGGTCAAGTGCGCTTGCTGCTGCTGGAGTACACGCTTTCTGGAACTTGCGCATCGACAGCCAGAACAAGTTCGTTTCCACACTATCACCTGGATCATCTGAGCGAGACAGCGCGGAAGCAGACCGTGATCTGGCTGAGACGACAGTAGCCTACAACGGTGGCGTTATTGAGAGCTACCCTGGCTATCTTGATAGTTGCCAGTCATATCTGAATGACCTGGTAGCGGCTGACAAGACGGAAAAGTCTGGAAACAGAACAATCAAGCTTGTGTCAGCAAAGGAGAGCTCCCTGATGGGAGCAGCAGTGGCTTTGGCCTCTTTGGAGGAGGTCGTAGAGGGGCCATTGGGCGTGGTTGGCTAAAGAAAAGGAACAGGAACAGGAACAGGAACAGGTATACGCCATTTTAATGACATGTTATAGCATTGCATCGGTGTTGGGCGTTTTGGTTTTTGAGATGAAAATATGTTGGGATGAATTCTTATGGAGAATATATATTCGGATGATGAACTTGGGAGGGAGATGTCGATACTATATTAATACAACCCTTAGACATACGTGTCCCTTGGAACTGCCCATGATAGCCTTTGATACCAAAGCGTGACTCTCCTGTCTTGTACAATAGTCATATCAAAAGATTTGCTCTCATAACAACCGACTTCTCTTATGCCTGGTGTTTGGTACCCTTTGTACCACCTTCATCATTGACCCGCCTTCCCAACTGAAGAAAGGCCATTTGTGTGGACATTATGGTCACGTGCACGCGTCAAACTCTCGCGTTGAGTGGTCGGCGCGTCTGCAGCTTCACAATAGCTTCTAGGCACCCCACGGTTTCTTCTACATCCACCTAATATCTTCCCGCTGTTGTTGATCTCTTGAGCTTAGATTAGTTTTTTGCTTGATGTCATAACCACGGTGCTGTTCCCTTGTTTTGTTCTCTTTCATCCCTAACTTTTTGCCCTCAACACGCGACATGGCCACCTCCGACACATTTGCTGAATGCGCCATCGCGTTCGTCGCCAGCAATTTACTGACTCCCAAATTGATCGGAGAGGTAATCTGAAGCTGCCAAACTCAATTATCAATACTGACAACCCCTAGCTATCAACCATTTTAGAAGAAAATGGTGCACAAATATGTGAACCTCGACGCGACGGCTCATTACCCATCGAGAAAGTCACCCACATTATCTCCAACACGATCGATTTCCCTCAGTACATTGAGGCACAGGCTCATATGATCCCTGTAGTGACGACTCAATGGATCACCTTCTCAATAGCTCGCAGGAAACAGGCTCAAATTAGGCCTTTTTCGCCTGATCCGAGAATGATCTTTTCTGAGGTGGTGGTGACTTGTGCGGATCTGCCAGAGACCGACAAGGAGAGTATTGCTGGTGCTACAGTGGCTTTGGGTGGACAAGAAACAAAAGATGCATCCAAGTTAACCACACATATTTGCGCCCTATCGATGGATCATCCTAAGGTCCAGGTTGCCCTACAAAAGGGATGGAAAGGCAAAGTTGTGTTGCCACACTGGTATGTCTAGCGCAGAGGGCTTGTGATGTTGACCGTTGACAATCTTCAGGTTCGATGATTGTTTCAAACTTGGGAAACGTATCGATGAAGGTCCCTATCTACTGCCCGATCCCGAAATTCTTAAGAAGACTTCCTCGGACGAGCTCAAAATACCCTCCAACGAAAACCTCGCGGGTGCGACATCGCCGACGCCGAATTACCTCCCTCTACCCTTGCCTTCTGATGGCGAGGTTGTTCGCCCACCGGTCACTATCTTCCAGGACCGTAATGTATTGCTGTCCGGGGATCTGACTATAACCGAACGACTGTCAAAGGTGGTCAGGGAAATTATCATCAGAGGGGGCGGAAAGCTCGTGGATAAGGTCGAGAATTGCGACATGCTCATCTGCCAATACCGCGACGGTCCTGAATATGTTCAAGCGTCGCAAGCGTACAAAGAAGTCGGAAATCTGGCCTGGCTTTACTGGCTTATCGTCCACAACGAGTGGACATCGCCGCTCCGCCGACTACTACACTATCCGATCCCCAAGGATGGTATAGAAGGATTCAAGGGTCTACGTATCACAGTATCAAATTACGGTGGTGAAGCACGAATTTACCTGGAGAACCTGATCAAAGCTTCTGGAGCCGAGTTCACCAGAACGATGAGAGCCGAGAATACGCATTTGATCACTGCTAGAGACTCTAGCGAGAAATGCAAGGCTGCTCCTGAATGGGGGATTGCCGTGGTTAACCATCTCTGGATCGAGGAGAGCTATGCCAAGTGCGAAATTACGCCCATCAACATCAAGAAGTATAATCATTTCCCTCCGCGCACCAACCTGGGCGAGATAATCGGGCAAACGTTCTTTGATGAGCCAAAGTTGCGCGAAAAGTACTACCCCGGGGGGCCAGCCAAGCTCTCACCACGAGCCAAGAGGAAGCGAGCAATCCTGGAAGCTGCAGAGGAGAACGCATATGCACGAGGGCCAGCAGAGGGTGTTGTTATTGGCCAGGCTGGTAACGAGGACGTCGAGATGGAAGACTCTAACGGAGGAACAAGCGAAAAGTCCGGAAAGAAGACCAGAATTATCGGAGATGCAACTCCAATACGTCCACGCCGTACTGGGAAGGAGAACGAGACGCCGTCGGTGGCTTCCACAGGAAGTCGTAGCGCCAAAGCGAAAGCCCAGGAACGTCTGCATGGCTTGAGCGATGATATCGCGCTTTACGAAAAGGAGAAGAAGAGACATGCCAAGGGCGGTAATACAATCTGGGGTGGAAAGCGAGCTGCCGACCAGGCCGAGAAGACCAACAACCCCAAAACCAAACAAGAGGAGAAGCCCGAAGATGAAGATGCCGATGCGTTAGCGAAACGGCCAACCAAAAAGACCAAGCCGTCACTTCCAGACGTTAAGATGCGTGTTGTCTTGACTGGATTCAATCGCTGGGTAGGAGATAAGAGTAAGGAAGATCAGGATCGAGTACGTAAGCGCGAGCCATTTGTTTGAATCTATTCTAACCATACGACAGAGAAAACTCCGGGACATGGGCATACAGATTGTGCAAGAGGGTCAGCCGTGCGACTATTTGGCAGCCCCAAGTGTTGTCCGCACTGTCAAATTCCTATGCGCGCTTGCACGCGGCCCAACAGTCATCTCGTCAACTTTCATTGACCAGTCTTTAGACAAGGGCACCCTTCTCGATGTTGAGGATTTCATTCTCAAAGACAATGCAGCTGAGAAAAGGCACAACATTATCCTTGAGACATCCGTCGCTCGTGCCAAGGCAAATAGAGGCAAACTTCTTGTTGGTGTTCCCATCTATTGCACGGAAAAGATCCGCAATGGTGCGGAGAGCTACAAAGCGATCGCCGAGGCCAATGGGGCGATCTTCAAGATCTACCGGGCTCGGAGCGGGACGACAATTCGGCCAACAAAGGCAGAGGAGGAGGGTAACGCGCCACCCGAGCCGGTCTACCTATTAAGTAGCGGAAAACCCGACGAGAAGCCGCTTTGGGAGAAATTCCGTGATATGGCGTACAACGGCAACATGGAGCCTCGCATTGTTGCACCTGACTGGTTGCTTGATGTCGCAATGGCTCAACAGGTGCGGTTTGATGACAAGTTTTTGGCGGAGAAGTTTTACGGAAATTCCCAGTAGTCATTTCTCTGACTGTTGCTTGATATGGCGTTCAGGATGGTTTAACATCGGCAGCGATGTTGGAGTCCGTAGTCGGTTCATATTGGTGCGCATGCTGTGATGGAAAAGTCGCATGTGCTTTATGTAGAGATGAGTATGTATGGTTCAGTACTTAGAAGAACTTGACGCCTAACGAGTCGTCCTGGCCGAATATTTGGGCTTTGTTTCGTTTGACGAGGATGTTAAGAGCTTTGAGAAGGACATCAGTGTCCATGCCGTGAATATCTGTGAGGGTTAGCTATAGGGTCTATAACATCGGCTTGCCTGACTGAAATTACCATTTCCTTTTGTACCATCTCCCTCGACAAGCTCATAGACTGTAAGAACGCTGCCCTTCTGTCCCGTCTCTTCGACGTAGTTCTCTACAAGCTCCGCCCACTCTTCGGGCTTTCGCCAATATAGAAACACAACATCTCCTGTTGTTTTGCCTCCGACGTATTCTACACGCCCATCTGTGTGCATATAAGAAATCACATCACGAATGTCGTCGAACTGTAGCCTTCGATCGAGTTTTCGGTTCACAAAGAGATCTGAATCTGCTGCTTCGGAAAGCGATAGGCGGAAGATACGGTTATGTCGCGCGTAGGCGAGAATGAGATCGGACCACTTGTTGCGCTGAGCATGGAGTGTGGTGAGATTGGTTTGGCGAGTGAAGAAGGCGGGGAAGTGATATTCTCGGGGGAATGTGAAGGATGATTCGGTTGCAGTCGCCATTGTCTAGGTTGGTGATGTTTGTTGTGGTGTTGAAGAAGATTGGAGGGGCTGAGACGATGACGTGGGAGGAGCTCTACAGCTAAGGTACCCGTCAGGCTAAAGCTAAACACGTGTGATAGGTTCAGCCGATCGGCCAGAGCCGTCTACGGCAATGCAAATGCAATTCTAGACCTTTAGACTTTAGTATTCCATTCTTGTTATATGACCCTTGCTATCTTATCGAACCATGGGATGAAGATCTATGGAGTCAACAAAAGTTTTTTAGTTTGTACCAGAACAAAGGCTGAATTCGTGTTTGAAATCACATCATCTCCATTCGGTCGACACGACATGAACACCAAACTTCGCCTCTCTTCGCCTCAGGGATTCCTCTCCGAGACTCCACAGAATGGACCTGTCGCCCCATAGTCACTGCGTGTTCTTGTTGACTATTCCGTGGAGAATGCTTGACAATTGAATCTCCGCGACATTGAGCTGTGGTGTTATCTTTGTGGGGGAACTGTAGGTATGGCCCAGTTAGAGTCGCTGTGTTGCAAAGCAGAAGAGGTTAATATTGAGGCTTATCTATGCTGGCATTGATAAGGAGGCTCACTCCGAGGAGAAAGGTTGATACGGGAACTAGTTAATAAGGCAGTAAATATTCCCGATCGATACAACACACAAAAATAGCTCGAGGGAATCTAATACCCGGATCTGAGTGAGGAATCTAATTGAGCGACTCTCGACAATGCCATTCCCTATCCAGGACCTGAGGACATCTTTTCAAGATAAGACCAAGATAAGGTCGAGAAAGAGCAGTGACAATTGTATACTGAGTTGTTATTAGGGGGTATTCGAGATGGCTTCATCCTTCACCGAGACAGATCAGTCAACAACCCACAAAAGACTTGACCGGACGGTGAAACTATGAGTTGGAGCGTTAATTATTTCGCCAGAAACCGGATGCGATCTAATATGAGAATCACCTCGAGACCTCATATCATGCTCTGTCGTGGTGTGTTGCGACGTACGAGCCCTTGGTGAGAATATTGCTTCTCCGCGGAGGCCAAAACGCCTCTACCGTGCGGGTGCAGCCCCTGATTGGTCCTTCAGCCACGGCGCGCTGTCTCCTTATCAGAGATCAGCCCTGGCCGAGAACTGCAAATGCGCTCACGTTCTATGGCCCAACGGCGGAAATGCTTAGCACGAGCTGGACTATCCCGGAGATGTACGTTCTAGATAGGGAGATGGGAGAAACTTCAGAGGGGGGTCCATAGTTTGTGGTCTTGAGGTACAGAAGACCCTCTTTTTGTAACAGGCTCTGAGAATCACTTATAACCATGAGGGACCATGATATTCCCTTCTATCTTTTTGGGTTTCTCTCCCAAGTATACTTGTCTTAATATTGACTTATCGAAATGGCTGCAACAGCACAAAAACGTGTGGTGGTCGTTGGCCTGGGTATGGTGGGCATTGCTTTCATGTAAGCCAATCTACACTATTTAACTACTTGCCTCTTGTGATCTGACAATGATACAGAGAAAAGCTGCTCAAATACGACGCCAAATCAAAAGAATATGCCATCACAGTCGTTGGGGAAGAACCATATCTCGCCTACAACCGAGTAGGACTCACAACATTCTTCGAGCACCGAAAGGTCGAAGAACTATACATGAACCCAGCAGAATGGGTATTCTCAATCTGAACCAAAACTGCATTCCAAGCACTAACAATCTACAGTACACAGAAGCTGGAAGCTCATTAAACTGTCACATCAACACAAAAGCCACACACATCAACACCGAGGATAAATTCATCGAATGCGCAAACGGCGAGAGCTACCCCTACGACATCCTCGTCCTCGCCACAGGTTCAGACGCTATTCTTCCCCGTATGCTCAAGGGTTGGGACGCAAATGGTGTCTTCGTCTACCGCACAATCGAAGATTTGAACAAGCTTATCAAGTTCTCCACCGACAAGAAGGGCACCAATGGAGCTGTCGTTGGTGGTGGTCTTCTCGGTCTTGAGGCCGCAAAGGCCATGCTCGATCTTGAGACCTTTAACAGAGTCGATGTTATTGAGAAGGGTCAGTGGGTTCTCACAAGACAGGTCGACGAGACTGGTGGCAAGATGGTAGCGGATCAGGTCTCGCAACTTGGTGTGAACCTCAATCTCGGCAAGGGCGTGTCGAGCATGAAGACTGACGAGAACAACAACCTCACTGGAATCATCATGGACGATGGCTCAGAGATCAGCTGCTCGACACTATGCTTCGCTGTTGGTGTCAAGCCAAGAGATGACCTCGCCAGAAGTGCCAACCTCGAGGTTGGACAGCGCGGTGGTATCGTCGTTAACGATGACTTGAGAACGAGTATGCCCGATATCTACGCCATTGGAGAGTGCGCCAGCTGGCGCGGTATGGCATACGGTCTTATCGCGCCTGGTGTAGCCATGGCCGAAGTCGTCGCTTTCAACCTTACGCAAGCCAAGCTTCACAGCCCCCAGACCTTCAAGACTCCCGATATGAGCACAAAACTCAAGCTCCTCGGAGTCAACGTCGCTAGTTTTGGCGACTGCTTCGCTGATCGCGATGGTCCCGTGACGCTTCCTCCCAAGTACGCCAGGACACTCGTCAATGGCGACGCTAAAGAGCCCAAATCTGTGCAGGCTCTCACATACAAAGACCCTTTCTCTAATGTGTACAAGAAGTACATCTTTACCAAGGATGGAAAGTATCTTCTCGGCGGTATGATGATTGGCGACGTCTGCGACTACGTCAAGCTTCTACCAATGGTCAAGGCACAGAAGGAGCTTGAGGTTTCTCCCAGTGAACTCATTCTCGGTGCCAAGAAGGACGGTGACGAGGATACTGATGATCTTGACGATGATGCTCAGGTGTGCTCGTGTCACAACGTCACCAAGGGCGACATTGTCAAGGTTGTCAAGGATGGCACTTGCAAGGACATTGCCAGTATCAGGAAGTGCACAAAGGCCGGCACCGGCTGCGGAGGTTGTGTTCCTCTCATAACCACCATCTTCAACAAGACTATGGCTTCTATGGGCCAGGAGGTCACCAACTACGTCTGTTCACACTTCAACCACTCTCGCGCTGACCTGTTCAACATCATCATGGTCAAACGCCTCAAGAACATGGGCGAAGTGATGCGCGAGGCTGGAAACGACAAGGAGGCACTTGGTTGTGAGCTGTGCAAGCCTGTGGTAGCGAGCATCATGGCTTCGCTGTGGAACAGACACGTTATGGACAAGACAACCCACGGTCTCCAGGAGACCAACGATCGCTTCTTGGGTAACATCCAGCGAGACGGTACCTACTCTGTCGTCCCCCGTGTATCCGGTGGTGAGATTACTCCCGACAAGCTTGTGGTCATCGGCGAGGTTGCCCAGAAGTACAACCTCTACACAAAGATCACGGGTGGTCAGCGTATTGACTTGTTTGGTGCCCAGAAGCAGGATCTTCTCGATATCTGGGGCCAGCTTGTTGCTGGTGGTATGGAGTCTGGTCACGCTTATGCCAAGTCTCTGCGAACCGTCAAGAGTTGCGTTGGTTCTACATGGTGTCGATACGGTCTGAGTGACAGTGTCGGTATGGCCGTTCGTCTGGAGGAGCGATACAAGAGTATTCGAGCCCCTCATAAGATCAAGGGTGGTGTGAGTGGTTGTGTGCGAGAGTGTGCTGAAGCTCAAGGCAAAGAGTATGTTTTACCTCCATCGTTTAATTGTTCTGTCTGCTAACATTGATTCAGTTTCGGTTTGATTGCCACCGAGAAGGGGTGGAACATCTTCGTTGGCGGGAACGGTGGTGCCAACCCTCGCCATGCCGAGCTTCTAGCCAAGGATGTGCCCCCGGCTGATGTCGTGACAATACTCGACCGATATCTCATGTTCTACATGCGCACAGCCGACAAGCTTCAGCGAACAGCCCGCTGGATCGAGAACCTCCCTGGTGGTATCAAATACCTCCAAGAGGTCATCCTCGAGGATAAGCTGGGCATCAATGCCTCGCTCGAGGCGCAGATGGAAGAACTTGTCGACAGCTTCTTCGACGAGTGGGCCGAAGCTATCAAGAGCCCTGCCATCGCTGCCAAGTTCAAGCAGTTCGCCAACACAAACGACACAACACGCAACATGGAGCTCGAAGATGACCGTGGTCAGAAGCGACCAGCTTTCTGGCCCGCAGACGCTGCGGCTACAGACAACTTCTCAGGTCTCAAGGACAAGTGGTCCATGACTTCTTGGGAACCCATCATCGAATCTTCATACTTTGACGGTGCTGACGAGTTGCCAAACGGTATCTCCGCTACTATCAAGCGCGGTGACACACAGCTCGCCATCTGGCGCATCAAGGGCGTCTACTACGCCACGCAACAAATGTGTCCTCACAAGCGTGCATTTATCCTCTCCGACGGTCTCATCGGCCAAGAGCCCAACAAGGCTGTGACGAATGGTGATAAGGATGGTGCTTCACCGTGGGTCTCATGTCCTCACCACAAGCGCAACTTTGACCTTGGCAACGGTGCCTGCAAGACAGACGAGTCTCTCTCCATTGCCACATTCCCTACCGAGGCTCGAGCCGACGGTATGTTGTACCTCAAGCTTCCGCCTGTGGAGGAGCTTGATGCCGCCTTGGGCACAAAGAAGTGGATGGTCAAGAAGGGCGAGGCTGGTGAGGCGCCTCTTGCTAAGCTTGACAGCAAGATCAAGTTTGTTGGATTGAGAGGAAAGAAGCCATATGTCAAGCCCACTGGTGGTGCAAAGATGACAACTAAGCCGCTTGACCTCATGATGGCAGCAAATGGTTGTGGCGGTGGTGCACCGGAATGGTAGAGAAAAGAAACATAGAGCATAGACAAGCTTAAGATATCATGGTTCGGCGTTGGGGATATACCGGAAAGGTTTGGTTTGGGTCATTATGAGTTATGTTATGTAGAACATATATGAATACCTCTTTTTATGTTACCTCAAGTTCAACATCAAGCGCATGGCCCCTTATCCGCCCAATGATGAGTTTGATGGCGAAGGAACCGGATGATAAACTCATCAAAGAGCCTCCTAAGTTTAGGCAAAATTTACCTAAACTTTTCCATTACTCAGGATTGGGGGCAAACGTTACAGATGAATTAGTATGGATATGCCACTCTATATATGATATTCATTTTGCAATCATTGCCCACATCCGCCAGTCTTCTGCAGGCCACCCCCTTCAACACAATATTAGGGCCCAGGCTGTGGAGGTAAGATAGCAAGCCCTTAAGAGCTGGTTGGAATCATAAATCTCTCCTCAAAGATCCTGGTGAGGTCTCTCATCATGGGTGTTTGTCACAGCAATGACGCCGCCGTCCTTCTCAATATCCGCAGGGAGGTTTCCCAGAGCCCGATCACCAAACATGAGATCAATTTCCTCAAGGGATAGGCCCTTTGTTTCTCGAAAGGCAAAGATGAGGGTGGGTAGTGTGATGACAAGATTGAAAGCTGTTGGTGTAAGTTAATTGACTAAAGAAAAGCCCGACGGTGTTGACTTACCAACGAAGAGGAAATAGAACTTCCAACCAAGCTCCTCGAGGGCAAATGGACTGACTTGATTCCAGAAAGTGCTCACAAGCCAGTTACCGATACCCGTGGCGAATGCGCAACCCTTTCCTCGGATTTGATAGGGCATAACCTCAGACATGTACGTCCATGATACAGGACCAAACGATAGCGAGAAGATGATTGTGACACAGAATAAGAAGGCAACCCCGGCAATACTGAGGCCACGGTGTGTGCCATCGACGTTCTGAGAGTTGACCGCACTCTCTAGGATCAGAGCAATGGTAATGGCAATAATACCATAGATCAGAGGCCTCTTTCGGCCGATCCTATCAGAGATGAAGGTGATGAAAAACAGATCTCAAAACTGTTAATCTATGAACAGAAAAGCTATTGAAGGGAAAAAGATGCCCAACTTACTCGCAAGAGGGCCGGTACAGTTGTAAATGCCTGCAACCAGAAGATTTGTCTTTCCAGTAATTCCAAGCTTCTCGTACATAATGGTCTGGTAGTAACTGTGCATATCTGTTAGTGGGTGTATACTAAACACTCGTCCAGTGATTTCTGTGTTTCGAGGAATGGGTTAGAAGCTTACCCAATGACATTGATTCCTAGGATTGATGTCAGTTCGTGCTCTTGACGTACATGGCTCTCAACATGAGGGAATCATACCAGTGAATTGGGTAAATACTTGAACAAGAGTTCCAAGCATAAGGCGCTTCCTCCACTGAGGCACCTTGAACATGATCATCCAACCAGGAGCAGTTGCTGCCTTCTCGGCATCAAGCGTGAGCTTGATCTCATTGAACTCGGACGTGATCCATTCATCATTCGAGCCATCAAAGTGCAGTTTTCGAAGAGTTCTCATTCCATCATCCAACTGATCTGTCGCGATGAGATGTCGGGGTGTCTCGGGGAGCCAGAGCATACCCAGGCACAAAAGTGCAGATGGGAATGTCTGGAAAGCCAAGGGGAAACGCCATTGGAAAGATGAAGTGTCGGGCATATGATGGCTTCCATATCCAACCCAAGTTGACACGATGAAACCTACTCCAATCATTTGTTGGGCGAGACCGACGATGAGTCCTCGATATTTGGGGCTGGCGCATTCGGATTGATAGACGGGAACTATACATCGTGGGTAAGTTAATGAAACTCATGGATCTGAAGATTGACTCACCACTCATAGAGAGCAAGCCAACAGCGAAACCAGCAATAATTCGTCCAATAAGCATCATAGCTAGACTACCACCCAGTTAGTGACTTCAAAGTAGTTGTGTTTAACAACTCAAACGTACTGATAGGCTGCAGCTTGAAGAATACCACCAACCGTGCAAATAGCTGCACCGATTCCTATCGTCTTTCTTCGACCATATTTATCTATGATAACTCCACCGAATAAAGCACCAAAAACTGCTCCGCCACTGAATGTTGAGTTGATGGCACCTATAATGGAGGACGTGGATGTTGTGTCGAAGTAGTTCTGGAAGTTTTGACGCAATTACGTCTGTCATCACGCCCGAGTCATAACCAAAAAGAAACGAGCTATAAATCAAAGCAGTCAGTATATTCCCTCCAACTTCAAAGTGCACCTCCAAGTAACTTGTACGTACCCAATGGCTGCAAAGCATGCCAGGCCGATACTGTATGCCTTCCCCATTTTATATCCTTAGCTATAAAGTCGTATAAGTGATTCGTAGTCCAGTCTTAGAAGATAAATAGTATCTGAATCAGATGCAATACTAACAGCGGACCTTTCACTATTTGTATGATCATCACCCCCAACGCAATGGCTCCATTCTCAATGCTTCGTGTAGCATGTTGATCAATTCTATCTACACCCTGATGCCCAAAGACCCACGGCCTCTTCTTCCCCAGGGGGCCCCAAAGGCTATCTCCGCAACAGTCATACTACTAGAGGCGGCCATATCACGCAAGGTTTGTTATTATCTCCATAGTGAGCCCTACGCATGACCAGTAACGGTCCGTTTCTACATCTTCAGCCCTGATATGACCTCTCTCCGGCTTCGGCCGAAGCTCTAGATGAGACGTGAGATGCCGAGAATCGTGATGCTGTAGAGTTACATGGTGTCCCTGGTATGATCCCTCGTCGGTTCCGAGCGGTCGGAGAATATACTACTAGTGTTCGGCAACCGGCCCCTCGAAGCGGCGGTTAAATGGTGTTGAAGAATAACCAGCCCATGAATGAACACTCTAGACTTTAACGTATAAATTCGCCCCTAAATTGCTAGTGGGTATTACCGTGTCTACCTTGACCAGAGACTAGATGATACAACGGTCGAACTACGATTATGGTCTGACGGTTCACCACAATGTCATAGCCATTCCGTCAGCCACATTTGTTCTTGGTGAACACAGAAATATTAGCACATGGCTTTCAGTCTTTCTATCCCGGCTAAATTTAAATGCAGTTGTCTACATAGAGGAACCTGTAGGGGACCTTTGATCCTTCGTGTGGTTGCTTACACCCGGACCAATCAGTTTCGTTCGGGGGTATTTGACCCGACCCGAGTTCAGATCATCATCAAATACAAGAAGCGGGCATTCTATTCTATTATGATGTATATATCAAAGATCCACTGAATACACCCAGGCAAGATTAGTGTTGTCTTCTGACGGAGGAGTTACGCCGTCGTCAGTAGAGCCCTGAATGTGCTGTGACTGCCTGTCATGTTAACTCATGCTTTGATGTACTAATAATGAGACAAAACGTACATGGCCTCGGTTAGTCGAGGGAAACCTATGTACAGGAATCGGCCCGAGTCCTGCGGCTTTGGGGGGCCGCAAACTCAACTATGTCTGAACCATGGGAGGATTATGAGAAGGCTCGTAGGCTTTATGATCATTGAAAGGATCACATATACCCTCCCCATCAATATTATTCCATGACAATGTAACATCAAAAGACAGTGCCTCGAATATGCATATTCCAGCCGCATATTTTGATCTTCTTTGCACGGCAGTTAAAGATAAATGCCGATATTGAATGTATGTTGGTTCTTCTAACGTACTTGACTGTTAGTATACAGACACAGGCCTAGCTTTCATCTCATGTTACCCCCCTGGCTCACAGTGGCAGATCATATGATACCCACTGCTCCAGGTCTTTTATGGGAGTGCACCTATGCACTTACTTCTCTTCTACGTGCCTGTACATGAATGTTCAGTGATCAATCACATGCCATACCATGGGAAGTTGCCTGTTCCTTTTGGCGGGCATATTGGCACTTAGGTCGCCGCTTATGATGCCATATACTCAGCAACCGGATAAATTGCCATCAGGTGAAACTTGCTGTAGGTCTATCATTTGATCTCAAGTTTCCTGCTACGTTACTTGTCGGGATGATCACATGTTTATTCCCATTCGAATAATCTATAGGATTGCCCACTTCACGAGCAAAACGACCAACCAATCGCGACGACCATAGACCACTAAATTTACCATTTCAGGCAATTCCTAACCCCCAAACCCCGCTGAAGACTTAGTGGAGCCTAAACGCGGATTCGGGTGGGGGATCACTGTGGGGTGGCCTCAGATTATGGTGCCAAAAATAAGAAGTCTAAAGACCCACTAAGCATATACTAAATTTGCCTAAGTCTATCCTAAACTTACTTCAGTTCTTTTGTCCTTAGGATATACCCAGATCCTACATTTCTTACTTCCCTCGGGTTGTCGTATTCCTTGGCCCCGTCCGGAAGGATCATCATGAGATACAAACTTTTCAAGGACTTTCAGAGGATTCTCCCTAGATCATGCTCTTTGTGGAGTTTCGAGGTAGCCAAGTTTAGTGCTGACGAGCAGGCTTGACATGTTCCAACCTCTCGGGACTGCGGCACGAGTACTACTAGCTATATTTTCACCAGGACTCCAATCTCCAATTATCGGGTCTTGGAAGTTGAGGGTGTTGCAAGCGGTATGTCATCGTGTAGACTGTGGTCATGAGCTGAGCTCTGTTGTGGCTCTAAAGAAAAGTGTGAGTCGTGAAGTGAAAGGCATCGCATCGAAAGTCAAAAGCCTCGGCCTCAGAATAAGTAACAACAGTTCAACCAAGCTCTGTATATTCTATTAGAATTATGAAGTCTATGTGCCTAGGACAGAGACTCAATCGAAACCGGGGCATCTCCCTCCAAATCACGACCTTGTTCTGCAATCTTGTAATCGCCTTTGAGCTTGTCAGTATTCTCAAGTTTGCCATTTTCTCCAACGACAAGCTCTGCAGCAACATTTCCATCGCCATCTACTACAGTAGTCTTAGCGCCAGGAGAAGTCTGATACAAGGTAACTTCAACATCTTTCACAAAATCGTATTCAGAACCAACCTCCTTGCGGCTGCCAAGCACAAGGATAGTGTTCTCCCTGACGTATAGTGGCAATGTGCCGAAAGCGTGCTTCTCTCTGAACCATCCAGGACCAGACTTGACTTCGTTCGTGAAATAAGATGTCCATTTGCCCTTAGGGAGGTAGAACTCAACTTCGCCTGACTCTTCATAAATAGGAGCAGCTAGGAGCTGGGAACCAACCATGAATTGGCAATCAAGGTACCAAGAGGTTGGGTCTTCAGGGAACTCAAGTGCAACAGATCGAAGGGACATTGGGATACCACCCTCTATAGACTCAATAGCCTGAGAGAAGATATACGGCATCAATCGCGTCTTGAGCGCTGTCCACTTGGACAGAGTCCTAGAGGATCCCTCCTCAGTGGGATCGTCATTGTCAACAATCCAAGGAACACGGAAGCAATTTGAGCCGTGCAGACGGCTATGACTGCACAAAAGGCCCATTGCAACCCATCGCTTGTAGATCCATGGGGGCGGAGAACCTTCGAAGCCACCAATGTCGCAGCTCCAGAAAGTAAAGCCGCTGAGACCCATCGATAATCCACCGCGGACAGACTCAGCGAGAGCCTCTGGTGTAGACTCACAATCTCCACCCCATACGAGAGGAAAGCGCTGAGTTCCAGCACAGGCAGCGCGAGCATAAAGAACAGCCTCGTTGTCGCCATATCGCTTCTGGAGAGCCTCGTAAACAAGCTTGTTGTACATGAAGGCGTAGTAATTGTGCATCTTGTGTGGGTCGACTGAGGTATCATGCCACTGAACGTCAAGAGTGGGAATCCGCTCGCCAAAGTCCGTCTTGAGGGCATCGACGCCCTTGTCAAAGAGTCCGTTGAGACATTCGGTATACCAAGCACAAGCTTCAGGGTTGGTCACATCTAAAAGACCCATGCCAGCTTGCCAGAGATCCCACTGCCAGATATCACCGTTCTTGCGCTTGAGAAGATAGCCCTTCTCAGCAGCGTGTTTGAATGCCGCACCAGCTTGGCCGATGTAAGGGTTGATCCAGACGCACACCTTCTTGCACAGTCCACTCTCCTTGAGTCGCGATATCTGGCCCTTGGGGTCAGGGAAACGCTCTTCATCAAAAATAAAATCTGTCCACCTGAAGCCCTTCATCCAGAAGCAGTCGTAGTGAAAGACATCGACGGGTGACCCACGAGACTTCATACCCTCGAGGAATGAGTTGACTGTGGCCTCGTCGTAGTTGGTAGTAAAACTAGTCGTCAGCCAAAGACCAAAACTCCAACTGGGGACTTTGTTGGCTTTTCCAGTGAGGACAGTATATTTCTTGAGAACATCCTTGGGCCCGTCGCCGTAGATGATATACATCTTCAACCTCTGCCCTTCCACAGTTGTTTGCACACGACAACACCTCTCACTACCAATTTCGAAATCTACTTTTCCAGGGTTATCCACGAAGACACCATAACCACGGTTGCTCATCCAGAAAGAAACGTTCTTGTAAGCTTGGTCGCTTGAAGTACCACCATCGGCGTTCCAAAGAACGACATTCTGGCCAACTTTGTTCCATGCTCCAAAACGCTCGCCAAGACCGTGGACGGACTCGCCGACGGATAGAGTCGTTTGCATGAACATGTAGTGTTTGAAGTCGCGCATATCTCCGGTCTGCAATGGTGTACTGGGAGCTGGAGAGTAGGCAAATCCTGTGCTACGATTGCCCAGGTTCGTGAGGTGCTTTTTGCCATCTGAGCTGTGGAACTTGATGTCGAAGTTATGTTGGTCAGGGTGAATAGTGGCAGAGAGAACTCCGGATTGAATAGTAGTGCCCTTATCACTCTTGACGATCTTGCCCTCAACTTTGGGCTGACCAGCTGGGAAGAGATCAAATTCGGGGCCTTTTCGTTGAGCACCGGCCCAATGTGTGGTCTCGATGGAGATAACTCCATCCATCTCTGCTTTGATATCGATATCAAGCGTGGGCTGGTTGAGGGTATCGCCTCGAGAGCGGATGTGCTTTACGGGACATAACAGATTCAGGGCCTGCTGGTCCTTGCTGGGAGTGATCTCATAGACATCTTCGGCATACTCAGTGCGAAAGTCTTTGGCGGGCAGCCACATGCCATCGCGGAGATGCATCTTGGTGTTTTCTTGCTTGAAGTAATAATAGGAGGTATCTTGGTCGATTGGCTTGTTGATGAGTGAAAGGATGGATTGTCTCTCCAAGAAATAGTCAAGTTTTGGAATAAGAGAGAGACAGAGAGAGAACAATAGATGGTGTTACTCTCCACTTCAACAATCCTCCATATCATGGAACCTCAAATGCATCAGCATCCCACTCCCACTCCCACTCCTCTCACGGTGACAATTCACCCGGAGCAGCCCCTCTTGACCCCACCAACCTATCATGACAATGTCCCCTCAGCGTCATTCGTTCGGGTCTGACAACGAGTTACACACATGATGTTCTTGTAGAGTTGCATCCCGTCCCCTCAAGGGTCCCCTGCTCGACGATCAAGTGGTGGATAAATCAGCGGACGCTAGAGGCACGCCCGGTTAAACACAGACGGGGCCCCTCTAGCTGCAGCCCATCGCGGGGTTCAGGGCCACTGTAACGAACGGGGTCTTCAAGGATGCATCGTTCGTTTCTGTGAGAGGTCTCTCAACTTGCCTTGTACCTACGTAACTTTAGACAGACTTGTTCCACAAGCAGCGAACACCTACCTATTCCAAGGTGATCTCCCTCTCACAAGTTCGTAGCTTAGCTTCATTCCTTCTAGTCAGTTCATCTGCATCGAAGCTAGGATATTCGGCTCGTCGTTCCATATACCGGCCCCGCGCCCCTTGCTCACTCTCATCCCATATCAACTTAAAAAACAAATCCACGAATCCCAATCTTTTGCCCATCTCCTTCTTTGTGGCGCCCCCGCATTCTCCAGGGTCTTGTCATGATCGTCCTGCTCTTCGCTCGTAATATCCTCAAAGGACAATCCATGGACTAGGAGCCCGCAATTAAAGCTCGTATGCAATGTTACTGAACAGTAAGGTGCATTGTCAAGCATCACGAAGTGACGCAGTTCCCTCCCTAGGCTACACGGTTAATTGTACAAAAGACAAGGTCCCAGGTTAGATATAAAACATGACGATCCCGCCTCATTCAGTGTATAGCTCCAGGCAGCTTCTTCGCCTTCAACTCTTACCATGAAGCTCTCTAGCTACCTCTGCGTGGCAGTTCTGGCTGTGGCCGGTCAGGCTGCCAAGGATAAGCCTGTTTACAAGGATCCCAAAGCTTCTATCGATGACAGAGTCGAGGACCTTCTCAAGCGGATGACTATTCAGGACAAGACAGCACAATTGATCCAGGGTGATATGACAAACTATCTCAATCTCACTGATGAGACTGTCAACAAGACTGGTTTGGCATGGAACTTCAAGTATCGAGCCAATTCCATCTGGACAGGCTTGTATGCGAACATGACTACTATCAAGAAGGCTGCTAAGCTAGGACAAGATTATTTGGCCAAGGAGACTGAGCTTGGCAAGTCTTATGCTTCAATATCGGGTTCATGGTCTAATGCTCACCAGGTATTCCCGCCTTTGTTCAGAGTGAAGGTCTCCACGGAGTCTTGATTCTGAACGGAACAATTTTCAACAGTCCAATTGGCATGGGTTGCTCGTTCAACCCAGAGCTCATAGAGAAGATGGCCGATGTCATTGCAACAGAGTCTCGAGCCCTAGGCATCAATCAGTTGTTCTCTCCTCAAGTCGACTTGGCTCGAGAGTTGCGATTCGGTCGAGTTGAGGAATGCTTCAGCGAGGATCCTTATTTGTATGTTCTTACGAAACCAATTTTATGGCTATTTAATAGTTACTAATCTCCAATTAGAGCTGGAGAAATGGGTTATCGATATGTCAAGGGTCTTCAAGCAGGTGGTGTCTCAGCCATGGTTAAGCACTATGTAAGTCTATACCATCACTACTGATTCACGTACTCACAGTCAAAGGCTGCTTTTGCAACTCCAGAGCAAGGTATCAACACTGGCCCAGTCCACGGTGGTGAGCGAGAGCTGCGGTCTCTCTACCTCCCTCCGTTCAAGCGAGCCATCATCGATGGAGGCGCAACTTCGATAATGTCCTCCTACAACTCCTACGATGGTGTTCCAGTTGTCGCAGACTCTTACCTCCTTACTGATATCCTTCGCGAAGAGTGGGGTTACAAGTACTACGTTATCTCCGATGCGGGTGGTACTGCTCGACTTGCTCAGGCTTTCTACGTTTGTCCCCTGGAGGACGATGAGTGCATCACTCTTGAGGTAACTCGCCATAAGCTTCCCACCGAGTAAAATACTGACTTTTGTAGACTCTTCCCGCTGGTAACGATGCTGAAATGGGTGGTGGCTACTGGAGTTTCGAGATCATCCCTGAGCTCATCAAAGCTGGCAAACTCGACGAAAAGGTCGTCGATACCGCTGTATCTCGTGTTCTTCGCTCCAAGTTTGAGATGGGTCTTTTTGAGAAGCCCTTCACTGGCGTCGCGGATGATAAGATCTGGGACTATGTCAACACCAAGGCACACAAGAAGGTTGCGCGCCAACTTGACGCTGAGAGCATCGTTCTTCTAGAGAACCACGAGAATGTTCTTCCTCTGAAGAAAGACGCCAATGTTGCTGTCATCGGTCCCATGGCCCACGGCTATGTCAATGTGGGTATCTACTAACTATCTGGTGAACCACCATCACTAACTCAACAGCAGTACGGTGACTATGTCATTCACACAGCCATGACCCGAGGAGTTACTCCCTACGATGGAATTAAGGCCGCTAGCAAAGGCAAAGTGACCTTCACTCAAGGTTGCGAGCGCTGGTCCACAGACGAGTCTGGCTTCAAGGAGGCTGTCGCCGCAGCCGAGGCCGCTGATGTCGCCGTTGTAGTCGTCGGAACATGGTCTCGAGATCAGAACGAGCTATGGGGCGGTTTGAACGCCACGACTGGAGAGCATATAGACGTGAGCAACTTGAATCTCATCGGTGCCATGCCCAAGCTTGTCAAGGCCATCATCGAGACTGGGAAGCCCACCGTCGTGGTGTACAGTTCCGGAAAGCCTATCACAGAACCATGGATTTCAGAGGAGGCTTCTGCTCTTATTCAGCAGTTTTATCAGTCTCAGGAAGGTGGTCATGCTCTGGCTGATATTCTGTATGGCAACGTCAACCCCTCGGGCAAGCTCTCCGTCAGCTTCCCCTATGATGTCGGCACCACGCCCATCTACTACGACCATCTCAACTCTGCGCGCGCCTGGCCAAACCCTGGCAAGATTTATGAGAACGGCACCCTTAAGTTTGGTAGCAACTACGTCCTTGAGAACCCCGAGGCCCTCTACACATTCGGCTATGGTCTGTCATACAGCAAGTTCGATTTCTCCAACATCTCCGTCTCCAAGAAGAACGTCACCGCGACCGAGACTGTCACCGTTTCCGTCGACGTAAGCAACAAGTCCAAGCGCGACGGCTCTGAGGTCGTGCAGCTGTATGTCAAGGACATGCTTGCCTCTGTCGATGTTGCGCGATACCAGCTCAAGGGTTTCAAGAAGGTCGCCGTCAAGGCTGGCAGGACCCAGACCGTCAAGATTGATCTCAAGGTTGAGGACTGGGGTCTATGGAACCGCAAGATGAAGTATGTCGTGGAGCCTGGTGATTTCACTGTCTTTGTAGGAAACTCGAGCGAGAACTTCAAAGGCAACGTGACTGTCACAGTGTCGTAGATCTTCTACACTAGACACCCAATCCCGTAACAGGGCTTGTCAATATATTTATTTTTCCCAATTGAGTTCATCACATCCTTGCAGTCATACAACGTTGCACAGGATATTGTGGCGTTGACGTGCCTGATACCGAGTCATAATTGCTTGCATGACATATTGACGTATTGCAGATTGGTGACAGTTTTGTTGCAGGAGCTCCCTCTGGTACAGTCAAGTGACTTATAAAACAGTACCCTGATCCATTCAAGCAATTGATAGAGTGAGTTCATGCAGTTCACATGAATTAGATAGAATAGGCCGGGTCAAACTGTGAATCTTTAAAGAATATTACCCAGTACAGCAATGAAACATGAATGAGAGCCAGATTGGGCTTATCTCTTATCGTACATGGTCAGGGATTGCTTTATCCGGCACCGGCTTTTTTATCATCCGCGCAATGACCAATCAGAATAGTCTGCGCCCGGAAATGTGGTCATGGGCTACGGGAAGGCGGGCAGCCTCGCTTCTCGTTCCAGCTTCTCCTCGTCGTCCCAGCACAGTCGATCCAAATTTGCTTATTTTTAGCTTTCCTACGTCAACACGACTTTTTCTCACGGACTGACGCTCAGCCTTGTACTTGGGGGTTACCAACAACATTTGAGCGTCTTTTTTCCTCCCTGGACGCGCCCAAAAGGCCTGCGCTCCCTCGCCGCTTCGCCCACAACTCCCGTCGATTCGACATTTCATTCCACCCTCTGTCCGTCATGGCGTCGCAACAAATTCTTTTTGCCGAAACCATAGCGGGTATGAAGAAGGCATTCAAAAGGAAATCATATGGTACGGAAATCCCATTGCGCTTGTCGCGATCAAGGGATTGACAGCTGACCATCTACCCAACAGAATCCGACTCAGACTCCGAGATCGAAAGCTATAGCAATCGTGGCAATAAGCTCAAAAAGCAGGCACGGTTTGCCCGTCAAGGGCAATTGGTCCCAAATAACGGTCCAAGTTCGTATAAAGAGGTTCGTTGTTTTGACAAATCCTCCCAGGCCAGACCTGACTTTTGCTAGTATGTCGAATACGGTGGTGTCCGACGCCCGATCCTATATCGCAATCCCCCATTAGTCGACGAGGAAGGATACGAAATAGATAGCGACGACGAAGATGAGGAGCGCGTTCAAGAGGCAGAGGCCTCGGCGGCGGAGATGAACCCTTACGCCAACATACAAATAGAGAGTAAGTCAACAATCACGCATTTGAGTAGCAGAGCTAACAGGAGTAGATATCCTTGCTCCACTTACTGCATCAACCGCGTTACCGACACACCCGACCCTATCGAAGCCCTTCACGTCCAAAACCCTGACCCGACTTGTTGACCAAAGTTGCGACATAATGCGCAAGGAGAATCGGTCGCTGTGGAGAGTCAGACATCTCCTGACAGCGCTCTGCGGCGACTACACATGGGTCCCTTGCGAAATGATGGTCCGGCCGGCAGACGTTGAGCTCTATACAGACAACCACACGGCGCAACATTTGTTGGCGCTATCTGAGGCGATATCGGCGCTTCCCAGAATCACCAACGGCGATATACAACAAGGCAGCGGTGTCGAACAAGCAAATGCTGTACCAGACACAACATTCGATGGTGAGCCCACGAACAAGGACCCAGCAGAGGATGCCGATATAACCATGACGGACGCTGGAACTGCCGACCCAGATGATTCTCTCGTTGAGGATGCCGACGAGAATACAAAGGTTGAGGCCGAGAAGGATGGTGCTGGAGCGCCATCAAATATGCATAATGGCGAGCAAATATCAGCTGCACAGACCGATAAAAGAGATTCCATGGGTGAAGCGACAAACGGGGTCAAGGAGCATACAAACGAACAAGGGACGAATGAGATGGAGGCGACCAGAGCTGAGGCCACTGCGAAACCTTCAGGCAGCGATGCACATCAACAAATGGAATCGGCTGAGACAATACGTGCAGATGTATCCATGATCTCCGACGCGGACGATGACTTCATACATCCCATGTTTCTTGCACCTTCAGGAGCAAGACCAGATCGAGATATCGGCTTGCCGGACCAAGAAGCGGAAGATATTCGACGATTGCTTGCGCTCTACGTGCAGAAGCAGGAAGAGGTGTGTAGAGGGGCAAAGAGGCTGTTTCTAGGACTCCTCAAAGCCGAGCAGATGCGGAAGAATGTACTCCACTGGTCCAAGGCAGAAGCTCATTCAGGGCTTAACCGAGACATGTCGGACGGGGAAGATTGGTACGACAAGGAGGAATGGGGTCTCACAGAAGACCTCAAAAAGGGGCAGGATGAAGAGGAAGAAGATGTGCAGACAACTGGTAAAAAGACGAGAAACCGACGTCAATAGCTGTTGGTCTCTGTGTTCTTTTTTCTTTTTTTGATGGATGATGATGACTGACTTGACTTGTTGGGGTTTTTGCTTTGGGCGTTTTAAGGCTGGCGTTTGGAATAAACCGCGAGATAGGCCTTGATGCCAACCGCAGTAAGCGTATTGTTACAAGCATCGATAGATATGAGTATTGAAGCATATAGTCTAGTCAGTTCAGTAGTTAGTGGTCATACCCATGAGATTCGATTCGATATCTGCCTGTGGTGGTGCTGGTCCTGGTCCCTAAATGAGGCTTTCTCTCGGTATAGGTTGAATTCGGCAGATTGGGTTGCTTGCCTCGAGTTCCCGGCTACGGTGCAGGGATCTTCCGTTTGGTTTGTGGGACGGTGGATCAAAAGACGCAGTCCTTATCCTCCAGGGCTCTCCCCCAGTTGACCCTCAGGACCCTCTTCTGAACGGAACCGTGCCTCTCCACTAATTCCGGGCTCCTCTCTTATGACGCGGGCCCGGACTCTCTCCTCTTCCGCTTTCCACTCTCTTCCATATGACAGCCCAGTCAGAATCAGGACAGCTACTACTAACAGGAAGGTAGGTACCTGAGGGAGGTACCCTAGCTCTCCAAGCTGCCCGTCTTTCTCCAAGCTCTCTCTTTAATTCTGTTTCCTGTTTCTTATAATATCTCAACAGTTTGTTTATCCTCTCAACACCAGAATCACAAATCATCTACAGTCTTCTTTGAACCTCTCCCTTCTGTGATTCTTCCGTGAACTTGTTACGTCAGTGATCACGACTTTTGCCATTCCCTCACTTTCCCTCTTCGTGCCTGTTTGCTTTCTTGGTTACCTTGCTGTCATCATGGCTCTTGGTTTGAAAGACTTTGTCGAGTATGTCGACTATGACAAGCAGAGCTTGTACAGTGAGTATATGCCAACTTGGCTTGAGCAATGTCTCTATCTACCAACGATTACTTGAATCTGACTCGAGCCCTTTGCTTCTTCCAGTCTCTGCTGCCTCCATCGCTTTCAACCCTCTCTTCTGGAAGTGAGTTGCAAGTCCCAATGTGACGTTCTATCTTCAATCACTAACTCTGTTCTTTTCTAGCATCGTCGCCCGTCAAGGTATGCAGCTTGCAGCTAGGCGATTCATCTTCGACTAACTTGATCGCTGAAAGAATACCACAACAAGCTTCTGACCAAGATCTTCGGCGGTAACTCCCAAGTTGCCTGCTATGCCCTTGCTGCCACTATCTTCTCTCTCGGTATGATTCGCGACTTTATCTTCAAGACTGCCATCGCCGAGCAACCCACGCATCCCGCTCTTGTCACCGACTTCATCCAGGCCGCCGCCGTTGCTCTGTTCATCGTTGGTAACGTCCTGGTCGTCTCTTCAACCTGGCGGCTTGGCATTACTGGCACTTTCCTCGGTGACTATTTTGGCATTCTCATGGACGAGATGGTGACTGGATTTCCCTTCAACGTGACCGGTTCTCCTATGTACACTGGCTCTACCTGCAGCTTCCTCGCTACCGCCATGTGGTATGGCAAGCCTGCCGGTATCCTGCTCACATTGTGGGTCGATGTTGTCTACAGGATTGCTCTGAAATTTGAGGACCCGTTCACTTCTGAGATCTACGCCAAGCGTGAGCGTGAGCGTGCTGCTGGGAAAAAGTCCAACTAAGCTCCCGAATTCTGTCTAAACTCTCCCAAGTAAAAGACAATAAGAGTCACAGGACAGCATATCAGCGCCTCATGAAACGTTATCAGGGCCGCACAAACCAACGGAGACTTCCAGACAGCTCCATCTAGTCGAATAGTGTACGATAGACACCAAGTCGACACAGAAAGCTACGCCTTTCAACAGGCCAGGTGCCTCTCAACAGGCTTAAGGAGTTTTCGGATTAAACATACAGATACCACGTCTTTGCCGACATAAAATCGTCGCAAGGCATAAGGGACTACATTTGATTTATATAACAATACCAAACTGAGCATTCGCAACCAAGGCCATATACATACATGGACGACTTTTTCTCCACTACTCAAGAACGGATAGCAACTGTTCCCCCTTTTAGACACCGCGTCTGTAGACCTCATGGCCCTCATCTGCACTTTCTGATTTGAAGCATTTCTGCGTTATGGCCAAGTTTTTCTATATTGCATGACAGGCAACCTACCCTCTCGTATGTGTGTCTGAGTTGGCCAACATATTACCTTGAACTCATGAAGGGCACAGGACAGAGTCTGGACGAAAACTTGACATGCCTAAACTCAAACATATTGTACACTAAATTCAACAGCCATCTAGCTCATGATCTAGTCATCTCTCATAAGTTGATTTGAAAATCTACTCTACAGTTCGGCAACCCTTCAAAATAAGCTCGGCAACCTATGCTCGCTTCTAAGCTACTCCTCATGCACCGCCCTTGCCCAGCCAATTTCTTTTGCCAACGCCAACTCCGATTCCCTCTGGTGCACATGCATCTATGTCTCAGAGGGCTTGTTGTCGGGGAGCAAGTCAACAGCAGAGGCCTCAACAGGCTTCTTCTCCTCGGCAGGCTTCTCCTCGGTAGAGGCTTCACCGGCCTTCTCAGCTTGACGAAGAGCGAGCTTCTTTTGCTTCTTCTTGTCCTTAGCAGCCTTCTTCGCCGCCGCCTTCTCTGCCTCGAGGGCCTTTTGCTTTCGGATCTCCTCACCACCAAAGGCCTCGCGCCACTCATCAAGCTTAGACGCAGGGATCTGTGTGAAGAGAAGCTTGGGCTCGCCAATCTTTTGGCCGGGCTTGACGAGGTCTCCTGACCATGTCTCAGGAATGGAGATCAAGCCAGGGCTGCCGATCTGCTCCAGGATGGCCTCGGAAGTAGAGGGCATGTAAGGATGGACGATGCTTGCAAGGAGCTGGAGATGGTTGATACCAAGACCAATCACAGCAGCGCAGCGGTCTGGCTCATCGGCCAGAAGCTGGTTGTTCAGCTTGCTGTCCTGCAGAAGTTTGTTGCCAAGGGCGGAGATGTGCATAACGGTGGCAAGGCCAGCGCGGAGCTTGATGGCGTCGAACTGTGAGATAAAGGTCTTGAGGGCCTCGTTCACTTCCTTTTTATGCTCCTGTAGCCGCTCGTCGGTGTACTTTGTGTAGTCGGGAACGACACCATCCAACTTGGCCTGAGTGAACTTGAGGATTCGTTGGTTCAAGTTACCAAGGTTCTTGAGAAGATCGTTGTTGTTGCAGTCAATGAACTCTTGCCATTTGAACTCAGAGTCAGCGGACTCGGGCCGTCTGGATAGGAGGTAGTATCGCCAAACATCGGGATCAACGCCAGTCTCTTTAGCAGTGTTTCCAAAAACTCCAACGCCGCGGGACTTGCTGAACTTTCCGCCCTCATAGTTGAGATACTCGGTTGTCGACATCTTGTGGACCTTGGTCCAGTTCTCTCCTGTTCCAAGTTGAGAGGCAGGGAAGATGATAGTGTGAAATCTAGTGAGTTGTCAGCACCGCCCCAGCGTATCATGTGGGTTCTCAAGAAGTTCGCTTACGGCACATTGTCCTTACCCATGAACTGGTAAAGCTTGACGTTCTCGGGGTTCTTCCACCACTTCTCCCAGTTCGTGCCATCCAAGTTATCGCCATCAACCAAGTTCTTGGTGATAGAGACGTAGCCAATGCAAGCATCGAACCAAACATAGAAGACCTTCTCTGCATACTCCTCGTTACTCAAGCCTTCGAGGTCCTTGGGAATAGGAACACCCCACTTGAGGTCTCGAGTGATACCACGGGGAAGGAGTCCCTTGTCGATCCATGACTGTGTGATAGAAATACAGTTTGTGCTCCAGTCTCCCTCCCTGCTGCTCTTGTGGAACCAGGGAACAAGCAAGTCCTTAATCGCGTCCAGGCGAAGGAAAAGGTGCTTCGTCTTTCGCTTCTCGGGGGTGGTTCCATCGACCTTGCAGCGGGGGTTGATCAGGAAACCAGTCGCTTTAGCCTCGACATGGTCATCGTCAGAGGCGCTGGGCTCGCGCTCAGGCTCAAATGGGTCGATAAGACTACCGCAGGCATCGCATTGATCACCGCGGGCTCCGAGATCATGGCAAATGCTGCATTCTCCCTCGACGAATCGGTCTGCGAGGAACTTGCCGTGGGCAGGATCCGAGCAAAAAGGCTGAGTAGTCTCTCGCTCCTCAATATAACCATTCTTCCAAAGCTCCTTGAAGATCTGCTGCACAATCTGTGTCTGTTGTTGAGTGGGTGTTCGGCCGAAGATGTCGAAGTCAATTCGGAACCAATCGTAGACTCCCTTGTGAAGGGCATGATACTTGGCGCAAAGGTCGGCGGGCGAAAGACCTTCCTCGAGGGCCTTTGTCTCGGTAGCAGTACCGTACTCGTCGGAACCACAAACATAGATGGTGTTCCAGCCTCGCGCTCTGCAATAGCGAGAAAAGACATCGGCGGAGAGAACACTGCCGATGATGTTGCCCAGATGCGGAATGTTGTTGACGTAGGGAAGGGCACTGGTAATTAGAATGTTGCGCTTACCCTCCTCGGGCAGAACGGGTGATTCTGAGGCCATTTTCGGCGATCTGATATATCAGTAACTCTAAGTTTACTCAGGATGATTGAAGAGAGGTTCGGTGTTGGTTGTCTTTGTCTGTTTGTGAGTCACAGAGCTGCGATAACGCCTTTGACAGTCAAAATTCGTAGCTGAGGTGCGATGGCGGGGGCGGGGGAGGGGTGATTGGAGAAGTCGCTGGGAAGGTCTAGGGTACCCAGAGTTGGTGGCAAAGACTGTCTTATAGATGATGTCTATAGTACCTATGTTGACGGATTGCGCTGTATTATAGGAATTTGAATGTTGTCTGATTCATTTCCCAAGTTAGTGGGAGTCATGGCATAAACTCTTTTGGGGGGGGTTCTTAGGGACATGCCACTCTCTCGTGTCTAGGGTTTGAAAAATTATTTCCAACGATGCTTGCACTGATGCGGAACGGACAAGCTTCCCGAGTTTCACTGGTTCATTGACTCACTCA